GCACCCTCCCCCCCCCATACCGTCCAGTCCTCAGGTGTGTGCACCCCCCCACATACCTTCCAGTCCTTAGATGTGGTTGCTGCATCAGTTTTCTTTTTTCTTTTTTAAGTCTTTTCCCCCTTTATTGTCACCTGGCGACACCTCAGTGTACTGTATCTGTGGACAAGCAGCGTTGTCACCCTCGGACAGAGGATATGTTAGGACTACAGAACCTTCCCTACTCTTCTATTTTCCATAACATAGGTTCTGTAGTCCTAACCAGGGCCATCCCTATAATGAGGCAGTTGCCTCAGGCGTCATCTCATTACTAGTGTCCTGCCCGGCCCACTGCTGCTGCCAGGAGCTCGAGCGGGTCGTTCTGGCCGGCGTCCTGCCGATCTCCTGGCACCCAGTGACATAAGTGTGCTTGGCGGAATGGGCCCTCAGCCAATACATAAGCATTGCAGTGCTCTGGGGTGTGTTGTGTTATAAGATTTGTGGCACATCCGATATTTGGGACGTTTTGGTACATTCATTTTATTGGCCGCCTTCAGGCGACGCATAACATGTGACACAACGCGCCACAAAAATGTAAATGGGCCCTTAAAATGTGTCCGTTTCCGATGTTTTCCCGCTGAGTCGACTTGTTTCAGGAATTGCAACGTCTCAGACCGCTGAGATGAGACCGCTGTAATGTCATGCCGCCGCGTTCACGCTCCCTTTGTTCTATGGGTTAGGAATTAACAGCCGATGGTGTTTTACGGTTAATGTTTGGCGCTCTCGTAAACCTGAACTTGTCTGAAATGACTTTCTTTCTGTCTTTCAGCCTTTCCACCCCATGGTGAACCTGGAGTGTTCCAGAGACTTCCGGCCCTTCCTGTGCGCGCTCTACGCGCCCGTCTGCATGGAATACGGGCGGGTCACACTGCCGTGTCGCAGGCTGTGCCAGCGGGCGTACAGCGAATGCTACAAACTCATGGAGATGTTTGGCGTGCCGTGGCCGGAGGAGATGGAGTGCAGCCGGTAATGTAACGTTTTGGGGTCTTTCTTCGCCTGCAGAGGCCGTTGTGACGCTAATTCAAGTATCACACAGTGGGGGGAATTTATCAAAACTGGAGCAGTTGCCCATGGCAACCAATCAGCATCCCTCTTCAGTTTGCTCAGGTGTGGTCTGAAAATGAGAGAGAGAGAAGCTGATTGGCTGCAGTGCAAATCCGCTCCAGATGGAGCAAACAGAACCTGGAGCAGTTGCCCATGGCAACCAATCAGCATCTTTCTTCAGTTTGCTCAGGTAAGATTTGAAAAGCTGATTGGCTGCAGTGCAAATCTGCTCCAGTTTTGATAAATTCCCCCTCATGTTTTTATAATTCATTGTACTGGAGGGGAGGAAGAGGTGACATTAGGGCAGCTATTTAGGTGCCCATAGCAATTTTCAGCAGCAGCCAATCACATTTCAGCTGTCATTTTTTAGTCTTTGAAAATAAAATCTGTAGCAGATCTGAGCGTTTTACAGCTCGCAGTCCGGACACGGACCAATCACCGACCTGCGCTCGGTTGTGGCTGGCTGACGGTGGATGCCTTGAAGGCTGATGCATCCATTGCAGGCCATAGCCCAGCGCAGGTCAGCGATCGGTCACAGTCCTCTTCAGTCCTTGGTTGCATCCTAGCAACCAATGACATCAGGGGTCCCCCTCCTCTGCAATCAGCGGTTGCTAGGACTTGCCAACCATTGATGTCAAATGTCTTCCTGCCCCCAGGACTACAGGGGGGGCCGGAACAGCATCTTCCCTCCTCTCCTGCAACTCCGCCTCCCGTCTCTGGCCTATGAAGAAAATAAGGAATGTGTCGCATACTATGTGGGGACAATAAGACTTCATTCAGGGCCTATTTACACCAATGGCGTGCATAGTTCCATGTGAATAATGTACGGTACCGCGCAACGCACCTACAGTGCGGCAGGTGCATTACGTTGCATGCTCTACTTTTTTTTCAACCACACCACGTTGCGGTCGGTCGCATTCCGGCCAGGAGGGGCAATTGGGGTGCCAAATGAATGGCAACGCGCCTGCCGCGCTGTAATACATAGTAAGTGCGTTGCAGATAGGTGTGAACGATCCCTCACACCTACAATGTGTATCGATTCAGCCCTCCCCAGCAGTCCCAGTTTCTCGTGTGATCGGGGACCCCCCACCCCCCGATCTATAGTATCCTCAAAGGCATATTTTGGAAATTATTGAGAGTTAGAGATTCCATGGGCATGCGCACAAGTTCCATCTGGTGTGAATCTTCTATTGGCAGTCACCGGATGTGACATCACCAGTCAGGGAGCTCGACGAGTCGGACCTTTTGATAGAACACCGACATGCGGATGTTACATTTCCCAAATGATACATTGTAATAATGTCCTTTCAGCAGTATAGAGCTATAAAGATACATAGAGGGGAATTTATCAACACTGGAGCAGGCAACATCTGGAGCAGTTTCCCACGGCAACCAATCCGCTTCTCTTTTCAGTTTGTATAGTTAAAGGAGAACTATGAGGTCCGGGCTTTCCCCCATAGTTCTCCTTAGGGTAACGGGAGGACACAAACTAGCGTCCTCCCGTCACCCAAAGCTCAGTATATAGGGAGCTACAGCTCGCGGTATACTGAAACCGCCGCAGCCGGGACGGATGCTGACATTACTGTCGAGATCCACCCAGCTACGTGATTGACAGCTGGCTCTGCCTATCTAGAGGCAAAGCCAGCTGTGCCCGCCCCCACAGTCCTCTTCAGTCCTTGGTTGTTAGGACTGCTGGCATCCTAGCAACCAATGGCATCAGGGGTCCTCCTCCTCCTCTGCCAATCCTCCAGTCAGAGCTGGAGGATTGGACGGGAGGAATCCCTGCAGGGAGCGGCGAGTGACAGTTGCGGCTCTCTGCAGGGACATGATCGGGAAGTGAGCGAGCGCCGGTATGCGTTCGCTCACTTCGCGATCTATTGAGCCGACCTGTGACAGTCTCATTGCCACACGTCGGCTCCAACTATGAGGATGAGTGAATAGCATTCACCTCATAGTTCTCCTTTTAAGATATGAAAATGAAAGAGAGAAGCTGATTGGCTGCCATGGGTGACTGCTCCAGTTGTGATAAATCTCCCTCAATGTATAGAAGTCACGGCGCTCTGTGCACTCTGTGAGCGATTGGAGAGGTTCAGTCATTTTATGTGACCGGAGTCTGCGATGGGAACTGGTCTGCACTGGGAGGAATGCACTTTTCTAGTGGGAGGCCCGGAGACATCTGGGAGACGTCACCTTGTCGTAAATCAAAGCCGAGGGGGAGAGGTCACAGCAAGGAACGGTCTACGTTTAGTGCCTCAGAAACAGAATCCTTTTCTGTCGCGGTGCTAAAATATACTTTTCTGTTTTTGGCAACCCGACGCTGTGATAATAGAGAAGCCGCGCGGAAACCTCAGCGGCGCCCCGACATGCTCCGTCGCGTCCCCGGGTTATAATGATCTCACACCAATTATCGAATGGGAAGGTTCAGCTCAAACGAATGTGTTCAGTCCCAGCTAACGATGAAGCAGAAGATGGCTATAAGGACCCCGTTCACATCATGGCGATAGGAAACACGCATGTGATGTCCCCCGAGGTCTTCAAAGATTATAACCGTCAGGCCTCGTTCGCAATGCCGTGCATATACGCGCTTATTGTAACATATGCAAATCAATGGCCCCATTCCCCCAAGCAGCGTACAGAGCCGTATATTTGCGTAGCGTATATATGCGCAAAAACTGAATGGAACAGAGATGCGTCCGGGCCACGTATTTCTGCGTATATACGCGCATTTACGCGTACATGCGTGCAGCACATTAAAAATTCCATTACGAGTGATGCATTTTGGGATTGCATATAGTGCACGCATAGACGCTCGTATATACCTGCATAGACGCATATATATGCCCGCATAGACGCTCGTATATACCCGCATAGACGCCTATATACGCAATATACAATTTTGCTTGCGTTGTGTGTGAATGAGGCCTAACAGTTTTCATGCGTTTGAGCGCTCTGTGATGGGGCATGGTAGCTCACGTAAAATGGAATGGTGTGAATAGGCCCAATGGAAGCGCGCGCTATAAGGGCTGGCATACACAGGCGTCCGATGCCTGTCCTGCTAAGGCCCGGTTCACACCTGGGCGTTTTGTAGCGCGTTCCTACGCTCTGCAAAACGCTCAAACACCGAAATCCCATTGCTTCCTATGGGTATGGTTCACACCTGGGCGTATTACAGGACGTATGAACGCGCTACAAAACGCCCTGCGCCCAAAGAAGTACAGGAGCTTCTTTGGGGCGTTTTTGTCGCGTGTTTCCATTGGGATACAGCCAAGTAGCCCTTGTGCGTTTTTGTCCGCGAATCGCGGTAAAAACGCGTGCCAAACGCGCATATTCGATACGCCTAGGTGTGAACCCAGCCTAAAGAAGTTGCCGATACAGGAACTGGGGGGTGATTTTCCTAAATATGGACAAACCCTTCTTTACCCTGCTGAAAAGTTGGGCAGGGCCTTAAATAGTAGGGTGGCCCATTTACTTGGACCCACTTTAGATCCACTGTCATGACTTAGGCTTGGTTCACACCTAGGCGTATCGAATATGCGCGTATGTGTCGCGCATTTGTACTGCGATTCGCTGTAAAAAAACGAACGACATACGCGCATTTCCCAGGGCTACTTGGCTGTATCCCAATGGAAAGGCGCGACAAATACGACCCAAAGAAGCTCCTGTACTTCTTTGGGCGCAGGGCGTTTCGTAGCGCGTTCATACGGCCTGTAATACGCCCAGGTGTGAACCATACCCATAGGAAATAATGGGATTTCCGTGTTTGAGCGTTTTGCAGAGCGTAGGAACGCGCTACAACGCGCCCAGGTGTGAACCGGGCCTCAGCCTTCCCCAATGATCACTCAGACTATACATTGTGGCAAGTCACAGGGTAAGAAGCTACGGGGGGGGGTTTGTATTTCCATTTTTTTGTATTTCAAATTCTTTTGGGGGGGAATTTATCAAATCCGGAGCAGCTGTGCGCGGCAACCGTTCGCCATCTACCTTTTTTCAATTTTTCAAAGCTTAACTGAACAAACAAACTGGTTGGCGTGTGCGTTCTGTTGCTGTTTTTGGTTGTAATGTGCAAAAAACATAAATGTTTTTGTTTAATCCATAGAAGTTGTCGACATGCAGATGTTACATTTCCCAAATGATACATTGTAATAATATCCTGTCAGCAGTATAGAGCTATAAAGATACATTGAGGGGAATTTGTCAAAACTGGAGCAGCTGTGCACGGCAACCAATCAGCTTCTCTCTTCAGTTTGTATAGTTAAAGGAGAACTATGAGGTCGGGGCTTTTACCAATAGTTCTCAGGGTAACGGGAGGACACAAACTAGCGTCCTCCCGTCACCCTAAGCTCAGTATATAGGGAGCTACAGCTCGCGGAATACTGAGACGCCGCAACCGGAACGGATCCCGACAATTATGTCTGGATCCGCCCAGCTGCGTGAGTGACAGCTGGCTCTGCCTATCTAGAGACAGAGCCAGCTGTACCCGCCCCCTCCCCCGTCCGTTCCGCCAGTCAGCGCTGGCAGATCGGAGCGGGGAGGGGGGAGGAATCCAGCCCCTCCCCTGTCACCCCACAGAGCAGTGACGGGATCGAGAGGTGAGCGAACGCCGGTATGTGTTCCCTCACCTCCCGATCTACTGAGCTGACCTGTGACAGTCTCATTGTCACAGGTCGGCTAGGACTATGAGGTGAAAAGCACCCCCCCCTCATAGTTTTTAATTTTAAGATTTGAAAATGAAAGAGAGAAGCTGATTGGTTGCCATGTACAGCTGCTCCAGATTTTGTCTGCTCCATTTTGACAAATCCCCCCCCCACACAGAATTTAAGAGCTCGGGACTGGGGGGCACTTTTTGCCATACGTGCCTTGGGTGCCATAGGATTTTGTCCCGGCACTGGGAGGATGGGGGGTTGGGCACATGCTCTCAGGCACCTAGTGCAGCAAGAATTTTTTGGTTGCAGAGTGGTGTTTTTGTGTCTGAAATGGGTTTGCACCTGTCATCACAAGACCCCCTGCCGTGTGAAAGGATAACGTGTGTTTGTCCTCCCCATAAATAATGTCCGCTGCCTGTCCTGGGTACGAGAGGTCAGAGAATGGAGCACATTGTTCAGCCATAAAAGCCGAATTCCCCGGCCTCGCATATCTGTGATAAACCTCAGCGCCGCGGCGGTACGTGCGTTTGTAGTGCCTGCAAATCTCTCTCAGAAGATCTGGTGAGAGGTCTGTCTGTACTTCCTGTGTAAGACTTCATTCACACTGCCGTATAATGTGCTGCGCATAGATGCGCGCAGCGTTTTTCCCCCGTATGCAGCATATGCAAATAAATGGCTCCATACACGTAGCTGCGTATGGAGCCGTATTTGTGCACTGCGTAAAGATGCGCAAAAAAAAATGGACCCGAGATGCGTCCGGGCTCGGAAATTCTGCGTATTTTACGTGCGTGCATATCCGCATGTACAGTACATGAAAGTTTCTATGAAAAATTATGCATTCTGGGATTGCACACAGTTCATGCATATACGCGCATACATACGCATCTATACGCATTTACAGATATGCGTAAAATTTTGCTCTTGCGTTTCTGTGAATGAAGCCTAATTACCTGCTTAGGGATACAAGTAAAAGAGAGATCCATCATCAGTTGTGGTTAGAGCAGAGGAGGGCTAAAACTTCCTGTGTCCCTGTTGGGGGCAGAGTTCCCCTCACTTCCTGTCAGAGTGACACCCTAAGGGTTTCCTCGTACGTTCGACAAAATCTGGTCAATTTGGCTGGAATCTGCTGCTACGCTGAGTTAGAACATTTGTTGTCACCCAGGCAGGAAGTGAGTAGGAAGTGCACAGGGCAGCACGGGTGAGGAGGTAAGTATTGCAGCGAAAGCTCCATTTTTAACTGGGAATTAAATAAAGTTTTTATATTTTGAAGTAAAGCTTTACAAATTCTCATGATTTTAGGAGTTAATATTTCTCTTTCTGTGTTTTTTAGATTCCCCGATTGCGATGAGCCCTACCCTCGAATGGTGGACCTCAGCGTCTCCAGGCTGCCCACGGAGGACGCCCCGCTAGCGGTGCAAAGAGACTATGGCTTCTGGTGCCCCAGGGAGCTTAAAATTGACCCCGAGTTGGGTTACTCCTTTTTGGGAGTGCGTGACTGTTCCCCGCCCTGCCCACACATGTACTTCCGGAGGGAAGAACTCTCCTTTGCCCGATACTTCATCGGGGTCATTTCCATCGTCTGCCTCTCGGCCACCTTGTTCACCTTTTTGACGTTCCTCATTGACGTGACCAGGTTCCGATACCCGGAAAGGCCCATCATATTCTACGCCGTCTGCTACATGATGGTCTCGCTGATCTTCTTCATCGGGTTCTTGCTGGAGGGCCGCGTGGCGTGCAACGCCTCCAGCCCCACCCAGTACAAGGCCGCCACTGTGACCCAAGGATCTCACAACAAGGCTTGCACAATGCTCTTCATGGTTCTCTACTTCTTCACCATGGCCGGCAGCGTTTGGTGGGTGATCCTCACCATCACCTGGTTCTTGGCGGCCGTTCCCAAATGGGGGAGCGAAGCCATTGAGAAGAAGGCGCTCTTGTTTCACGCCAGCGCCTGGGGCATCCCGGGTACCCTCACCATCGTCCTTCTGGCCATGAACAAAATCGAAGGGGACAACATCAGCGGGGTTTGCTTTGTTGGCCTGTACGACGTCCACGCCTTGAGATACTTTGTCCTGGCGCCCCTCTGCCTGAACGTTGTGGTTGGCGTGACTTTACTCCTGGCCGGGATTATTTCTCTGAACCGAGTGCGGATTGAGATCCCGCTGGAGAAGGAAAACCAGGACAAGCTGGTGAAGTTCATGATCCGCATTGGCGTGTTTAGCATATTGTACCTGGTTCCTCTCTTGGTGGTGATCGGCTGCTACTTCTACGAGCAGGCTTACCGGGGGGTGTGGGAGACCACGTGGATTCAGGAACGCTGTCGAGAATATCACATCCCGTGCCCTTACCAGGTAAGACTTCGTCCATTGTTGCATATAAAGTCACACTCACCTGAAACATTTCGTTCACTTAAAGCTAAACTCCAGACACAAATGAATGCAGCTCAGTGATCATCAATATATCTCTAGATGTATTTTTGTAAATGCAACCAGTATAAGTATCTTAAAGGAGAGCTATGAGGGGGGGAGGGTGCTTTTCACTCACCTCAGTTCTAGCCGACCTGTGACAATGAGATTGTCACATGTCGCCTCAGTAGATCGGGAGGTGAGCGAACACATACCGGCGTTCGCTCACCTCTCGATCCTGTCACAGCTCTCTGCCGTGACAGGGGAGGGGCTGGATTCCCCCCTCCCCGCTCCGATCCTCCAGCGCTGACTGGCGGAACGGACGGGGCGGGTACAGCTGGCTCTGCCTCTAGATAGGCAGAGCCAGCTGTCAGTCACGCAGCCGGGCGAATCCCGGCATAATTGTCGGGATCCGCTTCAGCTGCGGCGTCTCGGTATACCACGAGCTACAGCTCTCTATATACTGAGCCTAGGGTGACGGGAGGACGCTAGTTTGTGTCGTCCCGTTACCCTAAGGAGAACTATGGGGAAAAGCCCTGACCCCATAGTTCTCCTTTTTAATTAGACTTGATAGGAGCCTCTTGAGAGCTCAGAGAATGGGAGGGAGGAGCAGCACGAGGAACCCATTAGCTGTGTTGCAGGGAAAGCAACATGATAAGTGGAGAGCAGAGAGACGAGCCCATCAGTCTGCTTCTTCTCCTTTCAATCCTGATTGGTCGAGTAACTGGCCAATCAGGAAACCGAGCCTACACTGCACCCGGCTTCCTGATTGGCCGGGAAGCCGACTCCATTCTACCTCGTCACCACGTGACGAGAGAGCATGAATCCGTCTTTCTGGCCAAACGGAAAGCCGGGGGGAGTGTGATGACACGCGGCCCAGCTTCCTGATTGGCTGGGAAGCCAGCTCCATGCTTCCTCATCACAAGTGACAAGGGAGCATGGAGCCGGCTTCCCAGCCAATCAGGAAGTCAGGCGTGTAATGACTCGCTGCCCGGCTTCCTGATACCGTAAGCTCATGTATCGGCCCAGGCATCGGAGTACTCGTCCAAATACTCGGCATAAACTATCCCCTTACAGGGCCATGGGGACTCTGTAAAACAGCTGCAGCTATTACAGTGTATTACAGCGATCTACCAGGCCCACGGAACAGCCGCTGTGTTGAGCAACTTCTCCTATATTAAAACACAGGGAGTCGCTCGCTCGGCACAGAGGCCATTCAGTGAACACCTAGTATTTTGTTTTATAAATTTAATACTAGGCATTCTCTGATTGGACAAAGGGCGATGACATCACAACACCACACCTTGTCCAATCGGAGAAGGCCTAGTGATTCTGACAGTAGGGAATTTCCGGGAAGTGCGAAGGTGGGGGAACCGGAGGGGCAAGGGAGGAGTGGTACTTCCATTAAGTTTTTTTTTTTTTTTTTGCCGCATGTAGCATGCTCAGCGTCCACAACTGGATAACATTCTCTTTCATTAAAGGAGAACTATGCGGTTAGGTCTTTTCCCCATAGTTCTCCTTAGGGTAACGGGAGGACACAAACTAGCGTCCTCCCGTCACCCTAGGTTCAGTATACCGCGAGCTACAGCACGCGGTATACTGAGACGCTGCAGCTGAAGCGGATCCGGCCAGCTGCGTGACTGACAGCTGGCTCTGCCTATCTAGAGGCAGAGCCAGCTGTACCCGCCCCCTCCCCCGTCCGTTCCGCCAGTCAGCGCTGGCAGATCGGAGCGGGGAGAGGGGAATCCAGCCCCTCCCCTGTCACGGCAGAGAGCCGTGACAGGATCGAGAGGTGAGCGAACGCCGGTATGTGTTCGCTCACCTCCCGATCTACTGAGCCGACCTGTGACAGTCTCATTGTCACAGGTCGGCTAGAACTATGAGGTGAGTGAAAAGCACCCCCCTCCCCCCCCTCATAGTTCTCCTTTAAAAAAAAAGTTCACTTTTAATAATACATTAAAATTCAGAGGTTTTGACGCACCTGTGTGGTTTGGGACTGGCATGGCATACACTCGAATTACCTGTTAATGTTTGCACATTATCGCCGTTTTCTGACATCACAGAAATGTTTCCGCGGTATCATAAAGCGCTCATTTAGATTCCTTAGATTAAGTTCTGAGCCCCTAATGTGTTTTTTTCAGACCAAATATTCAATACGGCGTTTTATTGCATTCCAGTCGTGTTTGAAGGCCGCACGGCAGACGAGGTTCAGCGGCATGCGATACTGTAAATGACCTTTTAATAGATTTGGCACGCTCCCCGCGCGGAGCGCAGTAAGAAAG